TGCAGCCGTCATTGTTGTTTGGCGGGTCCGGGCTGGGGATTTGAACCCGCCACCTTAGGTGTACATGGCTGGCGCCTTAGCCGGTTGAGCTATAGGTGCCGAACCAACATTTTGTCACATTTGTGTGTCATTTTTCTGAGCCATTGAGAACTGCAGACATGTTTTCATGTTATCTTTAAATACTTTAGCATGTACCTCAGAAGAAAAAGAATATTTTCCTGTATAAACATATTTATCACACTCAGGAAGTATAACTCTTCTTTTTTTTGAGACAGAGTCTCACTTTGTCACCATATGAAGTGCCATGTTGTCAGAGCTCACAACAACCTCAGACTCTTAGGGTTAAGCGATTCTCTTGTCTCAGCCTCCCAAGTAGCTGGGATTATAGGCACCCGCCACAATTCCCTGCTATTTTTTAGAGATGTGGTCTCGAACCTGTGAGCTCAGGCAGTCTACCCGCCTTGGCTTCCCAGAGTGCTAAGATTACAGGCATGAGCCACTGTGCCCGGGCTGTAACTCTTAAAAGGTTTTAACTATTTTCAAAAAAATTATTATTTTAGCTGTTTACTAACAAGTTTCTGTTTCTTCTTTAAGATTTTTGTTGTTGTTGTTGTTAAATGTACATACAAAAAGAATGTACAATATATGTGTATGGAAGAATCTTAAGTAGTATACATATTAATTATAATTAAACGAACACCTGAGTACTGGACTTGGTGGCTCACGCCTGTAATCCTACCACTCTGCAGGCTGAGGTGGGTGGATTGCTTGAGCTCAGGAGTTTGAGACCAGTCTGAGCAAGAGCATGACCCTTGTCTTTAAAAGTATTGGGTATTGTGGTGGGCGCCTGTAGTCCCAGCAACATGGGAGGCTGAGGCAAGAGAATCACTTGAGCCCAGTATTTGAGGTTGCTCTGAGCTGTGATGCCATGACACTCTATTCAGGGTGACAAAGAGAGACTCTGTCTCCAATGAATGAATGAATGAATAAATAAATTAAAAAATCAACACCTGTATATTTACTGTTCATGTTAAGAACAAAGTACTACCAGTGCTTAGAGAGTTCTGTTCATCTCTCTTCCTCCTTTATGTTCCTTCCTACCTGGCATTTCCAACTCATGATGATATTAAAGTCTCAACAAACTGACAAGGCTTTTTGGAGATGTGACAGATGGTTAACACCAGATGAATGGAGTAGAGAGCTACAGAGAAATATTCTTTTTTTTTTTTTTTTTGAGACAGAGCCTCAAGCTGTCCCCCTGGGTAGAGTGCCGTGGCATCGCAGCTCATAGCAACCTCCAACTCCTGGGCTCAAGCGAGTCTCCTGCCTCAGATTCCCAAGTAGCTGGGACCACAGGTGCCTGCCACGCCTGGCTATTTTTTGGTTGCAGCCATCGTTGTTTGGTGGGCCCGGGCTGGATTCGAACCTGCCACCTTAGGTGTATGTGGCTGGTGCTTTAGCCACTTGAGCCACAGGCGCTGAGCCCAGAGAAATATTCTAATTAGAAAAAATGGGATGTTCAGAGACAAGAGTGCCAGGGTATATATGTATGTGGATAGTTTACACGTGGAAACAACACAGAATCTAGTGATTCTTTCTCTGTGGGAATGAGGGCTAGTGGAAGGAGATAATAGAGCTGGAGAGGAAGAGAGCCGTGAGCTTTGCTAAAACCCCTTGGGGAATCTATTTTAGGGTTTCAGGTGAAGAGGGATAGTTTTAGATTGGGTTTTAGGTAAATTTGGTTTTAGCTTCCAAGATGTGTATTGAGAGATTTAGAACTCTTAGGCTTATTTTGAGAGCTTAGTTTCCGTAGGAAGTTGACATTTTGTCTAAATAAGGTACAGAGGCATGAATAATACAAAATAGGTCGTTTAAAACAGGATAAAATAGTCTGGGTTCCCATAGCTCAGTGGTTAGGGCTCTGGCCATGTGCTTTGGGGCTGGTGGGTTTGAACTTGGCCTGGGCCTGCTAAACAAAAAAAAATAAATAAATAAAATAAATTTGTGGGTGTTGTGGCAGGCACCTCTAGTCCCAACTACGAGGGAGGCTGAGGTAAAGAGAATTGCTTAAGCCCAAGAGCTTGAGGTTGCCACAGCACTCTACCGAGGGTGACAAAGAGAGACTCTGTCTCAATAAAAAAAGATTTAAAAAACCAGGATAAAATAAAATAGGTGATTGAATTAACATAGGTAATTTAAGCATGGAAATAATATGGGGGTTTTTTGTGACTCATTCCAAAATTAATTTTAAACCAAATAATTAAGTCACCCAAATTCAAGATGCCTCTTACCTTCCTGGCCTGTTTTTCACCCCATACCTGGAATAAAAGATACTGGTCATATTTGTGTAAAAGAATTATAGTTTAGCAAGACATTTCTTTTTTCTTTTTTTTTCTGAGAAAGTTTCATTATGGGCTCGATGCCTATAGCTCAGCCAGCTAAGGCGCCAGCCATGTACACCTAAGGTGGCGGGTTCGAATCCCCAGCCCGGACCCGCCAAACAACAA